TAAACAAGAATTGAGAGGAGTGTATTACGAGGTTCTTGATCGTTTCATCCAGGAAATGAAAAGACGACTAGTGAATAATTCGGAAATTCTAAGAGGTCTATTGTCGTCCGACCCACTAAATGAAGACTTTCTCAATGAAGAAAAAGTGCTGAATTTTTGTACATCATTTATCAGATTCAATTTTAATGTGGATTCACTTAAAGCCCAACTTCCTGTTGACAAAAATTTAATAAAGGCAGAAAAAATCTATCCGACGACAAATTTTTACGAGTACTTACAGTCCATGGGTAGCTTTCTGATAAAGTTCTTCGCTCTGATTTTAACCTTTCCTGTCTCAAGCGCCATAGCGGAACGTAGTTTTAGTACACTAAATCGAGTCAAGTCGTTTCTTCGAACAACAATGTAAGAAACAAGGACCTCAAGTTTGACAATCTTGTCTACGAATCGAGACCTGAGTTCAAAGTTAAGAGCAAACCTTATGGTGGTAGTAGACGAATTTGGCAAAATATCCTAAAAAGGCTGAAATTTTTTCTGTAGCGTCTAATTATAGAATTAAAGATAAATATTTTGCATTATATGAAGCTTCATAACTATACATACATATCGTCGTACTATTTCTACAAAGGCCTAAGTGCAGTCAATGCTTTATTCTACAGTTTTACAAAGTTGTAAAATTTAATATTTACTGCACATAGGCCTTTGTAAAATAAAGCATTGACTGCACTTAGGCATTTGTAGAAATAGATATGTACAAATTGAATATTAGTCACTAGCGTATAAGCCCGTCTCCCGCCTGACAAGAGTTGATTTAGTTCTTAATATTCCACCCAACTGAATGTTTTGTGCATTATGTTTAAGCTTGATGCCGACGGAAGTGAAACGAAATTACGAATGTGAAAGTGAAAAGTTGTTATAATCATTGTTATTTTCAGTTTGACTGGCTTAGTCTGACCACTTGCTTCTGTCGTCTCTGCCAGAGGTAATGCCATTGCCATTGGCAGTTTCTCTGGCACCTCACTTGGCTCAGTCGTCGCTTTCAGCCCAGTCTGCCAGTGGTACTGCCATTGCCAATGGCAGGAAACGTGGCAGTGATCTAGTCCCAACACAGGCTACCTGAAGCACTGCAATGGCAACGGCAATGGCAACGGAATCCAATAGGATAACCTCTCCAGATAATCACCAGAAGTGTCATCAATGTGCAGAATCCCCACGATAACCACCATCAGGCCGCCACACCCCGATAACCACCATTAGGCCGCCACACCCGGATAACCACCATTAAGAAGCCACACCTCGATGACCACCATCAGATAACCACTCCTAGATAACTACCATAAGATAACCACCATCAGACAACGACTACCAGATCATCACCATCAGACAACGACTACCAGATCATCACCATCAGACAACGACTACCAGATCATCACCATCAGACAACGACTACCAGATCATCACCATCAGACAACACCCAAAGATAACTATCATCAGGCGTTTAATTTTTTGAATTTCATTTTGAATTTTTGCGCCATTCGAAACTTTACTTTCCCTACTTTCACTTCCGTTGCGGAACATTTACTTTCACTTCCGTTGCCAACAGACATTTCCAGCTTTTAATATAGATTAGTAATTATTTTAAGACTTTATTGACAATTTCTTTCACCAAATATAGGGAGGGTATTCATTTCGAGTTCGCATCGTTAGCAACGTTCGCAAAACAATAAAGTTCGCAAGTTCGCAAAAATTATTGGCTTGAAAATTGACTTGCGAACTTGCGCATCTCCAAGGCTAATATTTAGTTCGCAAAATATTTTTCACTTTTGCAATAGGAAAACTCCATAAATCTCTATTGGTTACGGAAGTTTGGGGTTTGGAATTTTTAAAATTTCTTATTTGGTAAATTTCAGACGCAAAACTTCGGTAACTAATGGAAATTAACATTTTTCCCATTGCAAAATTCGAGACATTTGTATACCAAATTTTCGCAAATTTTTCATTTGCCAAGTGTTCACTTTGTTGCTTCGCAAAATTCGCAATTTCGAAAAAGTTATGTTGCGATGCGAACATGCGAAGTCCTAATGAATACCCTCAGGGTGTTAATTTAATTTTCCGATTCTCAGAATTTTTGTGTAAATATTTCAACACCTACGGCTCGAACATTTCCGGGAAAATTTACTTTTTTCTTAGGTGAGGCTATGGTTACTAAAAAAATACCTAAGTAAGCATTCACTTGGGTTCTGAAGAGTGACCACAGCCCATAACTTTATCATTTCTCAACCGATTTCGATCAAATAAAAACCCAGAGTCAATTATGATCATGAAGAATCTAATTCTCAGCTGCCATGCATGAACTCTTTTTATTTTGTGTTCAATCGTTAAAAAACCACTTCCATGACAACATTTTGCCTTATTATACAGGAGTGAAGCATTTAACGGAAAATGTGCGTGGATGGAAATGTGACAAATATTTTAATCTTTCATTTAAAATTATAATCATCAAAATCGGTTGAGAAATGAAAAAGTTTTCCCTTTGACGAAAAATGCACCTTTGGGTTCAGGGCCGGCGCTGAAGGAAACTGAAAGGGTCAGATTGCCTAGCAATTGAAAAGGGTGCAGGTGTAAATATCATGTAAAATGTCTTCACCCAGGGTTAAGATATGTTACACGAGGTTGTACTTATAACGAACCCTTGGTTACACAACCTCGTGTCATTTAGTCTTTGCAAAATTTGGCACCCGTCACATAATTTTCATAATCAAATCAAATAAATTTTGCGAACAAATTTTCAACACCGATTTCAAATATTTGAACCTTCGTTACTCATTCATCACGATATTACCAATTAAAAGCTAAAAATAAACTAAACCCTAAAAAGGATTGCTTAGGTGAGACTAGGATGTGCGATTAAAAGAATGAAATAACCCTTCCTCCTCCCACCCTGGGGAGAAAGTGTTGGTAAAAGAAGCATCACCGCCCTAGGAATAATTTCGTCAAGTTTAAATAATTTCGCCTCCAAATATCATGGAATGGGTCTATATTAAGTCAATTCTAACAGTTTACTAATATACATTTACTAGTTTTGTCGGTAGAATGAATGACCATTGGTTCCTGTAAATTATTCGTTAATAGTGTACTATAATATTATTGAAGACAAGTTTGTTCAATAATTAAAATAAGACGTGGGTTGGGGCTTATTTCACTTTGACTGCGTGACCAACAAAAAGATAATCGGACATTCTTGGGGTATGTTGATGTAAAATTGCAACAATCATTTCTATTATATTTCCAGTGCAAAAATTTGCACTATTCAGAAATTATTCCCAGGGCGGTGATGCTTCCTTTACCAACACTTTCTCCCCAGGGTGGGAGGAGGAAGGGTTATTTCATTCTTTTAATCGCACATCCTAGTCTCACCTAAGCAATCCTTTTTAGGGTTTAGTTTATTATTAAAAATGCATTGGCCATTTGTCCTTCCACAATTTTTTTAAATCATGCCCTGAATAAATATTTTCCTCAGTCACCACCCCTTCCCCTTTATTTGTCCAGTTTTTTATACTTTTCTCTCCAAGAACAATAAGCTATGAGGGGAATTAAAATATAGATTTCTTTGTAACATGTTTGTACATATATGTACGTATGTAATTCAATATACACACACATCTGAGATGTACGAATATCTTTAGCTCAAAATTCGGGATTGGACGCAAATTTGTATTTTTAAAATTAAAAAATTCCTTTTACAACAGAGTACTTGAGAATGGAGGTTTGTGGACTGTGAATTCATAGATTGTGGTCATTCCACGGATGGTCAAAATTTCAAAATGAAATATTAAATTATTTATGCTTAAATCTGCCTTGGTTTGTATCCTAAAATACTATCAGGAAAACTAAAATTGAAATTACTTTGAGAAGCGCTTAATTTTTCAATTTTTTTGTGCCCACGTCGGAAATTGGGCTAGCCCCGCCACTGAAACCATGGAAAATCCACGTTGTTTTCTGGTCAAAGTTGTTTGTCGAGTTGAACTCGTCCCATAATTTGTAAGAAATGAGTAGTAATGCCTCTTTTACAAGCTCATACATTTCCATATGTTTTGTATTTAAGTGCATGTGTACTTTTTATGTAATATTCACTTTATCCAATTTGTATGGACGCACAAACTTATTTCCAACAGTTATAATTTGCAGTGCTGAATTTTAACGGAAAATTAATTTACTGTTGCGTTGCATGGAGTTTTAACGCATAGAAAATTTCGAAAATATATTTTTTCTCGAGTTAGGTACAAATTTAATTTAATACTAAAATTTACTTATCATCGGGTGGTTCCGAATTGTTGGGAAATTATTTAAAGCGAAAGTTGTATAATATTTATGCCGATGAGAATTTTACTAAAATATCTAAATAGTTAATTCCACATAATCAACAGTGGACAAGATATTTAATCAAATCATTTCCTCAAACATTCATTACCTACATACGTAGATAATTTATCACTGCAAAAATAACGCATCACTGTCTACATACATGTGTGATATGAATGCGCACTTGTGTGAACGATGAAATAACAAAATTCGCCAAAAGTACTACAAATATGCATCACAGAAAAAGTTAAAGTTAGTTAAGCAATGTATAAATAAATACATACATAATCAAAAAACTAGTTATAACTGACTAAAATCCTAACTTTTATAAATAATCTGTGCTAATCTTCCGAGCTTAAGTAAATTTTTTAAGTCAGGAATATAAAAATAAATATGTACCAGCACCATGAGTTATGTATTGTTTGGATTATTTTACAAAGCCATGGATTTGTTTATGCAGCCGGTTTTTTTGTTAATTAATGATTTCTTTCATAAAATTGAAATTGTGGGAATTTTGTACAAAAGATCAGGTTTACAAATTTATACATTTGTTAACAAGATTTTAGATTGATGACAAATTAAGAAAAGTTTGTTAAAAAGTGGTATAAGCACATTACGAAGTGCCAATATCAAATAAGAAATGTTTTTACATACAAAACTTAAAATTTATTTACATTCGTAATACATTTCATCACATCGTGTAAAACTTCACATTAATTTTTGAACTTTTATAAAATTAATTAATTATTATATAACTAAATAATTCCTTCAAAAATTACTCGTCCCAATTTGATTCGACATGGCCCTACTGAATATCACACGTCTCATCTTATTCCGCTGCGTCACCGTCGTGGGTGGCGTTGCCGTACAAGCCCACCTGACACCATGCGGTCGCTCCACGTGAGCAGGTCGACGACCACGTGGCGTGGTCGCCATGGTTGTCGTCGTCGTTGGAACCTTTACCTCCTCGCAAACGCATGACTCGGTCGATCCGTCCAACTTCTTGATAATTACTCGATCATATTTGCCCACTTTTTTGCATGGAACTGGAAAAATCAAATTAAAAATATTAAAAAAAATATTACAAAATAGCAATCTAAAGATTTCCCAACAAATCAAGTATTTATATTTAAAAAGGACGACTAGTCACTAACAAAATTTTGAATTGCTAATAAAATCTCGAATTAGATACTAAAATTTCCAAAATATGAAAAACTTACGATTATCCAAAACCATATTGTCATCTTCTCCAAATGTTTCCGAGATAACTAAAATCGCAAATAAAACCCAGAAAACGGTGCACGTCTGCATTTTGTGATAAATATTTTTGCACGAAAAAAGTAAATCTTGCTCAATAAAGAATTCCTCTTCTGACTGAATCTTTTTCCCGTCTTGGGGACAGTTTTATACCAAAAATAGACATACGTGCATACATATGTACATGATCATATTAATCTTTAATAAAAACATGTTGGTCTCATCTTGTAAAGACGTGCGTGTGTAGATTGGATTTCCACTCAATTATTTATTAATAATTGTGTCGTGTCAAAGGTTAAAACCACATGAATAATCGTGAGTCACAACTCTTCACATTAATGTGACGCATTTTTACAGATTTTCTTCAGTCGGCACGTCCTCACAGAGAAGTATTTTTAGCCAGTTCTTTTACAACCGTCATGTTCGTCCGTCGGTCATGGAACTATGTATGTATCGCAGAATGAGAATCCAAGTTGAGATCAGTCGAGGAATGCCCATTGATTATGGCAGCAAAAAAACGCCGATTTTAATACCACTCCCCCCACCCATTCCTTATCCTGCTTATCTTAAGTTTAACAGGTGCGACATGAACCAACCACCCATCTTTTCCATGAATTAATATATGAACGTTCCCCACCCAACGCTGGTTCAGGAGTATGTTGAACGTACGCAAGTGTCTCGCTATCGGGCTAGTCAAAGTTGTGCAATAATTTTACATGCTTATACTGAATGTTGATAAGTTTTATGATAAGCTTGTACATATAATTGTACATACATATAGTATATACATATATACATGAATTGAGTATAAATAAAAGTTATATCACGCTTTCTCTTACATAAATTTATACGTGATTTGCAACTGATTGATATTTTTTAAGTAAGTAAATAATTACATGAATCGATTGCGATTAAAGCGTTGTTTAAGGAAATAAGTATCTTAATACTTAATCATAATTTCGAAACTTTGGGATGTTTGCAAAAGTATTTTTTCGGGAAAACTACGGAATTTGCTTTTCCGTAAATTTTACCTAAATATTTCATAGGCATGTCCGTATAAGCATAAATATTTGTGTCGCCAAGTTCCAGCTGAACGAGACGCGAGGCGATACCTACAAATGAACAATTCAGTTCTTTACTGTTACATAAGTACAATACACGTATGTATTTATGCAAATGTAACAATGGAAATTACCCTTCCTAACTTTTTCTTGTGAAAGGTATTTTCTGAGTTTTTTTTATTCACAATCCCTTAACGAGAAAATGCATATCCAGGAAATGAAGACGTATTTATGGAATATGGAACCGCAAGGAAATCCCAAATAATTCATGCTTACAGAAGAAAAAATACAAGTCCAATTTTTATTTCAATTCAATAAATTATCAACCGTTAACAACTTCACCAATTTTTACATACATAATTTTTCATAATTTCGATTTAATAATTTTATTTATTTATTGCGTTCCATATATGCAGGAAGATGGCTTTAAAAGAATTATTACTTCCGTTCCGTAGTGGTAAGTTGTCGATCAACAATGGTATTGTTGTTATCCTGCAATGCATCTCTCGAACGGCCTTGAACAGCTTTGCCGAACGCACCAAATAAGTTTGTGAGTGGATTCAAATACCCGGCAAAGTGATCGACAGCGTTATTCGCAACGTTGAAGCCGCCCTTGATAACCTCTTGGTCACGTACGGTCAACCGGTAGATTTGAGCAATATCCAATTTCGTTCCTTCCACCGCTTCGATTTGCTTAAGGCCAATTGTACCCGTGTTCTTCACGTACAATTCAATAATTCCCAAAAATCTTTGTCCCAGAACTAAAAGGAGTAGTAGAACGGCGATCGTGACGCACTGTATTTGCAATTATTTTTGATTTTGAACTTTGTCATATTTATGAATAGTCTCATGCAATAGAATTTTGTAAAGTTCCCAGTGAGACGAGTTTTGGACGGCTTATTTAACCCTAGGGGGGCCAGGAAATTAAAAAATAAAGAGAGGCATGGAGGTTCAAAAAAATGTACTTTAGCGTTACGTATTTTAAGAACGTCCTCTGAACTTGGTACTTAAATAGGACTTTAGCGTAACGTAATTTAAGAAACTACCCCTTAATTCATGGGCCGTCAATAAATTACGTTACACAAAAATCACGATTTTCCAGACCCCCCCCACCCTTCTCCCCCCTCTCGCGCTACACAATTTATGAACGGTCCCTCATCCCACTGGCAAGTCTACAAAATAGGGGAAATTATTCATACAATATTCTGCCATTGTGAATTAAACCAGGGGTCGTAGTAGTGTCTGTTGATGTAATATTAAATATATCTAAGATAATATTATGTGTGTATTAACTAACTATTTTTTAAAAAGCTTTCCTTACCTTTCCTCAATTTCCTCTTCGAGCACGATGGATCGCTCTTGTGCCGCATTCTCAGTGCGCAACCAGAAGTACCAGGCGCAGCCGCCACCAATGAGGGCTGCCAAGTTTAAAGTGGCAACAACCGCCAGCCATTTTACCCAGGCTGTTCAAATTACAAATGAATAGTTTCAAATTTTATATGCACCATTAGAAATGCAGGATTCAAATCATACCAAGGACTATGCATTAACAATGTATATATTACTCGTACACAGCATACCTGTTCACTTTCATTCATTTTAATGATAATGATAGTGGATGAACGTGAAATTCCTGTCATTTGAACCTACCTGTTGACTTCATTCATTTAAACTGAGCATGAAAGTTAATGACCGTGAACGAAGATAAATTTCTTGTCATTTGAATGAAAATGATGGAAGGATTCTATCCTTTCAGATGAATGACTGTGAATGAATGGGTATCTAAATCCTTTCATTTCTCACCCTACGCTTAATAAGTACATGGGGCGAAGTAGACTATGAAGTTCGATGAAATGAAGTGAAATGAAATGAAATTTGGACCGGTATTATGCTAACGAGGACAACCCTTCACCGACAGAATCACAGATCTTGATGCCCTTTGAATATGTTGTAGCCCTAGGTGAATCTAGCAAAAGTGAAGAAGGATTTCATTCCATGGCCCCATTTGCGCCCGCCACACCCACTCAAAGGTGCGAAAAACACGAAAAATACCCTGTTTTCGTTCATTCAAAAAATCACCAAAAATCCAATTTTGATCGGATTTTCATAATTTAAGCGTTTTTGTGATCTTAGATAGTTGCTTTATCATATCCAATAGCAAACCAATAACCAATTGTGAGACGGAACAGTTTGACAGGAACGATGGCTTCACCGCCGGTGATTCTAATAATAAGATGACGCCAGCGATTTCGCTCCGACTTTGACCAAATCACGAAAACTATGCAGCCCTAGATAAGTAATTAAAGGATTCTCATAATCCTTAAACTACACTTTGCATTTTCACCGTTTGTAAATACAGACCCTCGTTCACGTTTATCTGTATAGATAATTTCTTTAACATATGTAAACTGAGCATTATGAAAAATCCTTAAACATCTGCTTAAGTAATTACTTTTCATCTTTATATTTATATTTAAATTATTTTTAAGGCTGCATAATTATCGTGGTTTCATCAAAGTCGGAGCGAGACCGGAGGCGGCATGGCATTAAGAGTTGTGGTTCTGGGGTTCAAAATTTCGAGGTGGAAAAGGAACATCCCAGTTTACAAAGTACTAAATGCGGAAGGTGACACGTCATTCACCACGTCAGTCATGTCATGTCGTCAGTCGTACATATGTATACAAACAAATAAATGACTCTTCCTCATCTCGCTGAATATAATACAATTTAATACCAGTCCGGTGTTAGGTTTAACCAAACGATTCGGTGTCAATTTTCGTCCAAAAATTCTCACCACACAATTTTTGCTCGACGATTCTCACTCCGTACCAATTCTCACTCCACAATTCTCATTTACCAATTCTCACTTTATATCAATTCTCACTCCACCATTTTCACTCCCCAATTTTCAACCTATATCGGTTCCAGCCATAATAAATCTCTAATAAAAATCTCAAATAAAAATGTAGTCTACTGAAACATGGCACAAAACGGCAATTAATTCTATATGTCGTTGTATGTATGTATTAGAATGACAAAAAGTGAACTTTAAAAAAACATTAAAAAGCATTGGCGAAAAATGTGTCCATAATATCTAGTGCTACATATTAACTGCATGTTACTTGTATTTATGTATTAAAACCTACTTTTTCATACAATATTTTGGCTACAAAGGTGAGATAATCTAAGTTTTGCCTAAGACTTTAAAATCCGGTACACCTTATCAAAACCCGGACATTTTCGGGACAGGTTTTGAAACCAGGACGCATGGTCACCCTACTTAAAACAGCTAACCCTCGAAATGTCTTTTCTTCGCGAGAAATCGAAAAGTGTTCGGTCTTGTGCAAAAGAACTATAAAGGTTCTCTAACCTTCGTTCCATGGCGAAAAAGCTGGTAGGATTTCGTGGTATGACACTTTATGTGCCAAGATAATTGTAATAGCTGGAACTTATATAATACATATTATGTAGGTTGGGAATTGGGGAGTGAAAATCATGGGGTGAGAATTTGTAAACAGTGAGAATTTGGGAATGAGAATTGTGGAGTGAGAATTGTGAAGTGAAAATTGTGGGGTGAGAATTGTTGGGTGAAAAAGTGCACACTACCGACCAAACCGGCATAGCATATGCTTTTAAACCTTGGTTATAATCTGACTACAATCTTTCTGAAAGTGTGCATCTCCAAAGCCCCAAGGTTAGTTGATAATTAATAAAAAATTATAAAACTTGCGAACTTACATAGTGTTAATAAGGTTTCTGACCAGGCGAGGTATAGTTTCAAATAATTGTTATTTTGACAAGCAAAATATTTTGTTAGCGAAAACTGTTATAGTATGTTATGCATTGGTCCTTTGTGTTTCATCCATACTATTTTACATGTCCTGAAGGTTTGCCCTGTAAATTTCTGACCGATTTTGTAAAACAATTTTGGAAATTTTTTTTCAAATTGGTTTGAAACAGTTTATTCTGGAAGCAGTATCGTGTGGAACTTTTTCGTAGACCGCCTTAGTTTTAAGCTAGGGTCATAAATTTTTAATTGGGTTCATGTCCGGAGTGCTGCCGAGCCACACC